CTCTATAAAAGACTCTCCCTGCCCCAGCCATATTGCTTTTGTCTCTCCTTTGTTCAGAGACAGCCCGGCAGATCTATTCCCCTAATAGAGGCTTGTTGTGGCCTGGTCTGGTGTTGGTCTTCGGCCCTTTTACCTGACAATCTTAATTAGCTGAAGATTAAAGAATGAACTAAAATTGGGGTGGGGGTTGTAACAGGGAGAGGCTGCACCTGCAGGTACCGAATGGGTAGCTAAAAGGATGAAGCTTGACGTCTCTGCCTCCAAATTTTTATCTCCCTTATTATCTTCAGGCTTTGGGTCAGATTCCTGCTTGGCTCTGCATGGAGGCATGTTAATGACTTAAGAAGTGTCTGTATTAAATGGTTTATTAGCTTTAAGTGTACCTAGCCTATCTCATCCCCCTTCAAGACTGAGAAAACCAAGATAAGAGTAACTAGAGTAATTTTCAGGATTTACACGGACATCTGATTGTCAGGTTTACAACTGACAACATCCAGTTCCAGATCCCTGGAGCAATCCCTAAAAATATCCAGTCACTGTTCTAAACTTACAATCACTTTGGATTTCAGGAAAACCAGAGCCTCACAGACCTCCTCATGATGAAGTCACTTCCCCAAGTGGGAGGCAATTACCCCATAATGGAAACTGAGCACGCCTCCAAGCAAGAATAACCTTCTAGCAGGAATCAAATTGTGCTTCAATTCATAAGGTTTCCTCCAGAGCTACAAAACCAGAACTGAGAAAATGATCAACTGGGCCCTGACCTATCCTAGCTAATCCATACAGGCAGGTCTCCTTTTGCAAATGGACTAGTCTTAGCCTCTTCATCAGAGTGAGCTCCCTCCAGCTGCTCAAGCTGCCATCTTTCCTCTATTCTCCCTTACTTTGTAACTCTGCCTACTACATCTGGCTATGACTCACATTGATGTCCCGAAATGCTTGTCTGTGATGAGAATTAACAGATCAACTCTGCAGGGTGAAGTGAAGTCCCCATCTCCTCTTTGGGAGACATCTCCTTGGACCCCATCTGGTGACAGAATAATTTAGAACAGGGAGAAGCTGATCTGGGTATGAGATGTCCTCACAAAAAATGATAAACACATCCTGGAGAGAGGTAGACTGGAGGGTCAGACTGGAGCATCAGAAGTGTCCTGCATGCACCTGAGTGTATTGTTAAGGACTAGGCTCCAAGACACCTGGGCTCATGGAAAAAAAGCAAGATACAGAAAGTATTTTTTGTGTGTGGTCATTTGTGTGGGGAAAGGACAGACTCTAACCATATGTATTTGCTTGCATGTGCACAGAACATGCTTGGAAGGGACACGTGACACTGGGCCCCACCTCTGAGCTGTCCAGTGACAGGGTAGGGATAAGCTTTCCAGAAGGCTGGGGTGGAGGACTTTGACTATACTTTGCATTTTGAGGCATGGAATATTTTCTTTAGCCAGAAAAATTAAATTCAAATTTAAAATCCGAAGAGAATAAAATACATATAGATGGTATTTGTTCACTGAGTCCTCCTCACAGCCTCTCATGCCACCTGATGTATGTACCTGGAGAACGTATGTTGTTACATTAGAGAAGGGACATTCACCCAGGGCCCTGGCACTGGCTCGCTACCTCATTGAGGCTCAGCCTGGTTACCCATGGTGAGCATAAAGCTGAAAGAAGCTAACTTCCATGGTGGCACCTTCCTTGTGGCCTGTTATGAGCTGAATTGTGCTACCCCCTCAATTTGTATACTGAAGTTCTAACTTCCAGTACCTCAGAACATGGCCTTATTTGGAAATAAGGTCATTGCATATGCAATTAGTTCAGTGGAGGTCCTGGAGTAGGACAGACTTCATTATGACAGCTATCCTTGTAAAGGAAGACAAACAGACACCCTGAAGCCCAGAGTACTGTGTGAACATGAAAGCAGAGATCAAGGTGGTGCCTCAAGAGCCGAGGAATGCCAAAGATTGCCAGCAACCACCAGAAGCCGTGAGAGACGCCTGGCACAGATTCCCTCACAACCTTCAGAAGCATTCAGCCCTCCTCACACCTTGATCTCAGATTTTTAGCCTTCAGGACCAGAAGACAATAAATGTCTGCTGTTGAACCACCCAATCTATGGGTAAGTCTTTTATCACAATAGCTATAAAAACCACCACATGCTTTTCAGAGTAAGGAAACTTAGTAAGTCTGTGATTTCTGTGTTCTGGTCAGATGTAGAGCTGCTTTAATTCTTGAATAAATTCCAGACCTGATTGTCCCAGGCTCTAACGTTACGTTCAACCCCACCCAGTACTTACTGTCATGGGTCACATTGTTGGAGACCCTAGTGGGCGATATCTTGGACATCCTGGCTGGGGACCAATGGGTCGACTCAAAGCTTAACGTTGGCTGAAGGAGAGTCTCACCTGGAGAGTGACACAGTGTGTAAGTGGGGGGAGGGAGTTCCCCATGGCCCATAGCCCACCTCTTCTCTGGGCAGCTGAAAACTGCTCGCATTTGCTGAGTGATCACTATATGGCTACAGCTGAAGGCCCCTTCCTCCCCACTTTGCTGGCTCCACTGACCCTCCTGGGCATGTCTCCAGCTTCACTAAGCTTTCTGTTCTTAGAACAAATGCATCAACTTTGGTTAGCCTTAGGGCCTTTGCATTTGCAGCCTCCTCAAAAAAATGTTCTCCTGGATCTAGCTGGGACTAAGTGGCTTCTCTCAAACCTAACCTCCAATATCACCCTTCAGAAAGACCTTCCTTCACCTCTCTATCCAAAGGGATATATCCCTTCCCCCCAACCCACATAACTTCACTTGATTTTCTTCTCTATAATTAGCAGTACACAAAAATCAGTTTATTGTCTATTTGCCCCTAGAGCTGCATTAGGACAAAGGTCTTCTCATCAAAGCTGATTTGCCCTTGGCACTCTATTGACTTTTCTTTCTTTTCTTCCTTCTTTCTTTCTTTCTTCCTTTTTTTTTTTTTGCGGAGGAGGAAGCAGGGATTCGGTAAGGTGTTCAAAGTCACGCAGCCAGGAAGGGCTGGCTCCCACATTCCAGTCCAGAGTTTCGGTGACTCTAAAGCTTGCAACATTTCCGCTACATTCCTGCAACAGTCCCCTGGAGAGTGGAATACCACGCAGCCTCAGGTTAGCAAGGCCTCACATCCTAAACCCTAGATCAGCCAGGCCGTGCCCTGGGGCTACACAACAAGAATGCAACGGGACTGAGGACGTGAGGATGGACAATGCAAGCGTAGGTGACAAAGGAAATATAATGGAAGGGTGTGGAGCTTTCGAAGACCTTGCAAGGAGCGTTCAGAAGGCTCCGCCCCGGCCCCTATGCACCCCGGGTCACCCCAGTTTTGAATCCTCGCCCGCCAAGCCCACTCACCCCCTAAGCCAGCCCAGGGCTCGCGCACCGGCCACGCGCGCCCGGGTTCGCTCCGAAGGCTTAGCTCCACGGTTCTCCAATGTGCGCTTCTGGGCCCTGCGTTTACGTTGCCAAGGCAACCATTATCCGGTCCCGCTGTGACGTCACAAAGGCCCAGAGGCGGGGTCGCTTGCAGGGGTGGAGAAAGACTGGAGTTCGGCTGCTACGGAGGCTGGGGCTGTTGGCCCAGGATGGGGAACCGGTGGCCCAGAAGTTTCTTCATCATTCCTTATTGCCCGCTCCCCTGAGCAGGGTGCTCAGGATGAGTGAAACAAAAGTAGACGTGGTCCTTTCCTGCACGTTATAGAGGGCCAGTTCTGAAAGTGTGATCTGGGACTGCAGCCTCCACAATGCTGAGAACTCCTTAAATTCTGGAGGTGGAATCCAGCAATGTGTGTGTGGGTTGCAACAAGTTCTTCCTGGCATTGGACACATAATAAACACAAACAGTGACATACGTTTCCTTGAACTAAGGTGGGGGGAAACTGCAGTGAACATGAACATTCTTGATGGTCCAGATTCACCACTTATTGCAACCAGGGAACTCAGCTGTACAGTCCCCAGCTCAGCAGGAGACAGACCCTTCCTAGATCTCTGACCAGGACCATCAGATTTCCCTATGCATCATGGGGACCTTGAGATGACCAAGTGCTTGGAGTTGGGGTCACAATCAAGGCTCTGTTCTTTTCAAGGACATTTAAGGGGCCATGGGGAACTCTGGAGCAGTCTGCCAGCCAGTAATGTGGTCCCAGTGACAATCCAGGCAGCCTCTGGCTCTGCCCGAAGCAGCTGTAGTGGATGGGGAGAACATGTCCAAAGCAGGAATGCAGAGGTGGGAGTGCAGAAGTGAAAAGAGCAAGGACACCTGTATCACCACTGAGAACAGTGTCCTCACTGGCAGTAGTCACGGTGGGTTTTGTACAAGCCAGGAAGAAGTATCACTGTGTTAAGCCATATATGTGATTTGTAAGTGTGTGTGCATTTGCTAATGTTAAGTACCCTGAGGAGGTGAGTGGTCCCTCTTTCCTCTTTGGAGTAGAGGCCTCTTAAGATATCATCCAAAGTCCTCAGTGGTCTAGTCTCAGCCTGTCTCTGCAGCCTCATCTCCCTACAAACTGTCAAAAAGTAGCAGGACAAAACAAAACAACAACAAAATACTACCTTACATTGTATTTATGTTTTAATTAAACAAAAGATGCATTTGATGAATTAAGGTACAATGAGTTTATCTTAAACACCAGGATTTCTAATGAGGCTTTTAGGGACCTAGAAAATAAGTGACCCTAATAGAAGAAAACTGATGAGAATGCTGCCAATTCATTGTTATTGACAGATAAATCCGTGAATCTCCCCAGGAGCCCTCCTTACAAGGAATCTTCTGTATGCCAGGCACTGTTCTAAAGTGTTATTACAATTCATCTGTTTAACATGCATGGCCACCCTACAGAATAGGGTGTTGTGTTAATGCCTCTGCCTTTCCACATGCTGCCAGTGAGGCCAAAGCTGGGGTTTATAATTAGGCAACAGAACCCCAATCTGTGCTCTAAACTAGATATTCTCTGCCTCTCACCAGGAGTAGCCTTATAATCTTCATGCAATTATGGAGAAAGGGCATGGAGCTTTGGAAGGGGACCTTGCAAGGAGCAAGAAGGCTCCACCCTAAACCTCCTGGACCTTGGTCTTCTTGGGAAAAGCCCAAGAAATCTGAAGCTGTACTCTGTAATGTATATGCTCGTGCCTGTTTTGGCACTTAGCTCTTTAGAAGGTTAGAAACCATCTGGAAAGTTTAGTTTGGTTTGGAAATTTTAATCTCACCCTAACATCATTTGTCAATTACAAGCTCATTTTAAAAATAAAATGGATTGATGAAATGATGGAAGGATCCATAGATATGTGACATAGCAAGAACAGTAATGTGCTAATTGCAGGGCCTAAATGTGGGTGTTCACCTTTTTTGTGTTTCAAGTTTGAAAATTTTCATAACCTAATTTTGAGAAAAGCTAATAATCTTCTTAAAGGGGTAATTTGTATTTGTGATTTCACACTTTCTTCCATGACAAAGTGGTCAGTCCAAGGTCTTGGGAACAAACAATAGAAATCAACTATAGCCAGTTAAAGGGGAAAAGGATATGGAGGCATTCCTGGCATCTGCAAGACAGGGAACCAGGCCTGGAGACATTGCAGCCAGGAGCAGTCACCTTCCTGCAAAGCACCTTGTGCTTTCCTCCAAACCAAGTCTCTGGCTTCTACAGTGGGAGGTATGGATTCTAGAAAGGGATTTCAGAGAACTAGCAGAATAACACATGCCCACAAGACAGCACCTGTGCCTCTTCTCCACTGCCCATGGCCTTGTCACAGGACAGAGTTCCTCTATTCCTTGCATTGGTGTCTTCCCTCTTGTTGGAGGTGGGGTGGGGTGGATTAATCTTTTTCTCTGATGGTTTCTCCAGAGGCAGTACAGGGCTCACTTCCAGGAAGCACTTCTCTTCCCTTTGCTCACATTCAGACAATCTCAGCGGCTCATCTTGCCCTAGATAGTCACCACCTGCCTGCCCTTTCCAGCCATCCACAGACATTTCCCTTTCCCCAGCCTCCCTGTCCTCTGCTGCCTGGGTAGGTCCAGTGGATAAAAGAAGGGGAGCAGGACTGTCCCCTTACTCCGCCTCCTGTGGCATCTTGGTTAGTGACTGAGACTTCTGCAGCTACTTTCTCCCTGGGATTGCAGTCCATTTGTTTATCTCTGGTGGCCTCACCTTTCCCTTTTTGATATTCACTTCCTCCCATAAGTGTGAAGACATGAAGCTGCTTGGCCAAGGCCTCACAGCCCATAGTGGCAGAACTGGGACTCAAACTCAGGCCGTTTGACTCTACTGCCCAGCCTATTAGCCACCACCCCATGCCTCTTTCCACTGGCCAGGAGAGAGGCAGTGCTCATCCAGCTGGGGAGGGGAGGTCTTGGGACCTGGGACTGGAAGTGGGCTCTATTGTTCACATAGGCCTCCCCAGACCCATCTGGGTTGTCAGATAGGGCAGGAAGTGGGGTGCTGATCTCTGGTGAGATCATTAACTGAAGGTAAACCCAGGCATGGTGCAGCTCACAGAAGTAAATGAATCTGGACAACATGCAAGCCATTCACTAATACCTCCTAGATGTCTGGAGGCTTAATGTGTAATGGAATGGAATGAGATAGAATGTATCTGAAGCAGGCAGAAAATTGGAGAATTCTGGTGACTTTCCAAATTCATGGTAAATGCCTTAAACATTGAGACTTCTTACATGTGGATTTTCCTTTTGCTCAGAGGTTGTAGCTCTGGAGAATGACTGAGCCACATGTACTATATTTCATCATGAGTCAGTCCTGTGGGAAGTGTGAACTTGACTTTCTGCACACTGAACTCTACAGGAATTCTGTCTGTCACATTTCAGAGGAAAGCTGCAGAAGTCCTACTAAAGCAATGGTGGCGAATGTATGGCACCCATGCTGAAGTGGGCATCCAGAGCCCTCTCTCAGCACCCGAGCCAAGTTGCCCCAGCAGCTAAGCATCAAATTACAGTTGTTTTTTCTAAACTAAAATCTCAGTATATAGGTTTAATGCAGTGTTGGCACTTTGGTATGTGGGTTTTGGGTTGCAATTTTGGTACTCAGTCTCTAAAAGTTTTGCCATCACTGTCTAGAGCATCATAAGCCTTGCCTCTCTCCTTCTGTGGGCAAATATCCTAGCTGCAGTCTTTAGTGGAGTCCTTGATGGCTCCGGTGGTACTTTAGCCTGGCATTCTTTCCATTGTGTGTGCAATTACATTAGATAAATTGCCCTTCTGCAAGCTCAGATGGACATTATTTGAGTAGAGTTAGTGATAATTAACGAGCACTCAATTTTTATTTTTTGGTACCATGGATCGAACTCAGGACCTTGTGCTTTCCATGCAGGCACAGCACCCCTGAGCTAAATCCCCAGCCCACCAGCACTCAATTTTGGCCTCCATATCACAGGCTTACACATTTGACTACAGCTCAAGAACACTTGTGCTAGTGAAAGCCCACAACAGGGACAGTGCTCTTGGAGGGCAGCCTGGGGGTGGCATCATTAGGACCAGGATAGAGGATGAATAGAATCCAAGTAGGTAGATGGAGCTGTGTGGATCAAGGAAAGCAAGAGGCAAGGAAGAGTATGAACCTGAATCCAGGGAACACAAATGACTTTGCAGGGCTGCACTAGGAAGTAGTGGCTGCTTCCAGGTAAGAAACAATGATGACTTAGATGAAGGTGGAGGCAGTTAGGGTGAAGAGAGGCTTGGTACCTACTACATTTGGGAGGAAGGATGGATAGATGGGCTGGAAGTTGAGGGGATATACCTGGACAAACTAGGGTAGGTTGAGATTTGCTGAGATGGAGAACTGACAGGAGGAAGTATGTGCTTGAGTCTCTCTCTCTCTCTCTTTCTCTCTTTCTGAAAGGACCTGCCTGCAGAGTGTCACAGGCTAACTGAACCCTATGAGTGTGTATTTACTATATTCCATTCACTAATGGATATGGGATTTTTTTCTTTGGGGTGATGGAGTATGTTGATGGCTGTACAATTCTGAATACAGTAAATGCAACTTATGTGGGTGAAATTTTAGTATGTGAGTTCTATTTAAATAAATATGTTTAAAAGGAGAAGAAGAGAGATGATCCACATAAACAAATACTCTGAAGGGGATAAGCGAGAGATTGAGAAGTGCTCACTGGATTTGCCACTGAGTGGGTGGACCTTGGTGGATGCAATTTTGGAATCTCCTAGGGGTGAGAGGATGGGTGAGGAAGAAGATACAGTACATGTAGACAATTTTCAAGGGTCTTGGCCAAAGCTTCATCTTGCTCCATTATAGGTGTAGCTGACCTGAAATGGCACTGGAAGAATGGGCAGTTCTTCCTGCTGGCAGCTCTGGTGGACACTGGGTCATCAAAGCCAGACCTAGTGCCACAATTCAGGAGGCAGATGGTTAGGCTTGGGAATCAGCATGGTGGGGTGTGTGAGGAAGTTGCATGACATTGGTCTGGATTAGAGGTGGTACTGCAGCAACTGGGCGACTGGAAAGAGGGATGACACTAGATCAGGCTTGTGGACAAAAAGGAAATGAAAGAGACAGAGATGAGGGGGAAAGGAAGGAAGAAGCGGGAGGAGAAGTGCAAGGAGGAGGAGGGAAGAGTAGAAAGAGGTGTATGTTCCTTAGCCAAACCTTCCCTGACAACTCCTCCCGCCCAAGTCTAAGCTGATAAATTCTCATTAGGCCCACAAAATAATGTCTTGGTCATCTCACCAGAGCTACTGTGGATCTGTCTGCTCTGCTGTCCATTAGGTCTATGGGTCCAGGAGCTGTACTCCGTGACCCTTGACCCCAGCGCTTCTTTGTGCAGGGTCTGCCTAGCAGATGCAAGGTGCTGAATATCTATTCTGTGTAGGGATAGTGAAGGGAATGGACAGTGAATGGGAAGATAGTATTTACATGAAGGTGAAAATCTCTGTGGCAGAATGTGTGGAGAGTTATTTACCTACAGGTGTGTGGCCGGGTGTTAGATGGATAGGTGGGCCCATCATGGATGGTGAGTGATGGAAAGATAAATAGGTGGGTCTGTGGATGGGTGGATGGACGGATGCTTTGGTAGACACTGTGGCATGTGGGGTAGATTACAGCAGAGGATAGCAGGAACAGGCAGAAGGGTGTGTGCGATGTCTGCCTCCGCCACACGGTGTCTCCCTGCACCCGCTAGAATACTGGCGCTGGTACAGGCCTTTTCTGCCCAAAGCGACTTCCAAAAGAGGAACTTTTGTCCCGGGCAGTGGTGAATGGTTCTCGGTGACGCAGGCTCCTAAACAGTTGAACAGACGCTGCGCTGCCGGCCTACGTCAGGGGAGACCAAGCAAACAGCGCTGCGGGAACCTTGGCTTCCCAACCCGCGGCCTTGTCCCTGCTGCACTCAGCGTGGGCCTCAGGGTGGGTGCTGGAGGCTGCGGAAAGTGGAGATCGTGTCCTGCTGGATCCTCCTGCAGGTGGGCTGGGGGGAGGGGCAGTCAGGCAGCAGTGACTCGTCCCCAGGCCACAGCGTCCTCAAAGGCGACTGCCTTGAATGGCTGCAGAAATCTGAACCCTGATTTTAAGCCTTACTAATTCAAATTCCAATCCCATCCCAGCCAACCTAGCGTTGCCTTCTAAGCTTTTCATTTACAGTATCTTCTAAATCCTGATGCTGGTTACATTTTTGAACCCCAGGTCTCCAAAACCATTTGAGGGCTGGGTACTGGGGATTGAACCCAGGGCCTTCCCACTAAGCTCAATCTCTAGCTCTTTTTATTTTCTTTCTTTTGAGAGAGTCTTGATTAGTGGCCCAGACTGGGCTCAGATTTGCAAGCCTCCTTCCTTGGCTTCCCAGAATATTGGGATTACTGCATGCACCACTAAGCCTTTTTGTGCAAACCTCATTCCTTTCCCAAAATCTTCTGAATGTAATCAGAGCACCCCTTAAATCTATAACAATAAACCCTAACTCAACCTCAGTATGAACCAAGGGCAAACCCAAAGGTAGATTCACAGGCTCAAAACAGTTTGCAAAAATAGATAAAGGCATGAATATATTATGAGTGTGAAAAAACCCCAGTGCTGCAAAAATGAAGGTGGTAAAAAGTGGATGTTGCCCTTCACCAGCCACCATGTCCCCCCTCCCCAATCTTCCCACCAGAACTTAACACCATTTTTGCATTTGCACATACCTTTATGAACAGATGGATCATCACACCTGTGTTCCTGGGATGTGCTGTTTAGATGCTGTCACTGAGCCTGTGGATGGAGAGCCCTGATTTCTTTGGGGAGTGCATATCACTGAGGATTGAAATCAAAGCTTTGTGCATTCTAAGCATGTTCTGTACCACTGAACTATTCCTCAGCCCTTTTTATTTTGACAGGCTCTAAATCCTTAGCAAATTAAATTGCCAGGGCTGGCCTTGAACTTGCAACCTCCCTGTTTCAACCTTGCTGGTACCTGGAATTACAGGCATGTACCACTAAGACATGCCTGGATTCCTTTACATTGTTGTACACAGTTTCTAGAGCCCAGGGCCATAAGCTCTCTGATTGTGGCCCCTGGCAACACTGAGAGTCTGTTTTGCTCCCTGCTGTATGCCTGATGCTCAGAAAGCACCTGGTACCTAATGGATGGTCTCTCATATTTGCATTGAAGGACTGACTAACCTATTCAAGAGTCATGCACTGCCTGTCATGGCAGATTGTCTCCAACAACAGCTATCCTTGTACTTATATACATAAGAAGTGAATAGACACAAAATAGACACTGCTGAATTGCCCTTTAATTTTTTTTTCCTGTACCAATTTTCACTTCCATTAAGGGTGTAGAAAGCATGTACCAACACTGATTATTATCAGCCTTTCTCATTTTTGATAATTTGATGGGCAAACAAACCAAATGTGATTTTAATTTGTATTCCCCAAGGACCTATTTGAAACTCCAAACTATTTATTAAGCATTTATTCAACAAGCTATACAGTGATTCCTCATTTAATGACTGAGTTCCCTTCATGCAACTAGGTGGTTAAATGAACTGATCACTAAGTGAGTAATTGTTTGTAGTATGTACAATATTCAGAACAAAGAAATGATCAAAGGAAGCTCCAATTTGATTACTTTGCTTTTATTTGCATAACTCTTACATGCAGTACTGTAATATATAACAGAACATAAAACTACAGTACTGTGCCACACAGTACAATCAACAAAACTTACAGTATGTGCTGTATAAATAAGATGTACTGTATAAAAAAGACACTGAGGCTCTATAAACAAGATGAACAGAACTCGGAGCGGGGGGGAGAGACAGGTCATAAGACTGAGCAGCAAGTTGTAAGTCCAAACAGCACACCTTGGTCATAAATCTGAACAGTTGTTAAACAAGGGAGGTCATTAAACCAGGAATATCTATATAGCATAAATTAGCACTTCCTTGTCCCAGGCCTCCCTTCTCCTCCCTCTCAAACTTTTTTCGGTTGTTTCTTTAAAATTATTTTTCAAATTATTTTTTTAAAGATATGTTTATGCTTTGATTTCTGCATTTATCAGTTTTAGGTAATTACCAGCTTGACTTCCTGTCAAGGTGAGGATTTAGCACTCTGGTTCAACCCTGAGTTCACTTTGCCGCTTCCCAATACAGCTGATTCAGGGTTTGGGAAGCAACCTTGACTTTGCCTCACATGATTGCATCAGTGTTATTCCCTTCTTTTTTTTTTGGGTACCAGGGATCGAACTCGAGTCCTTGCGCTTGTGCAGCAGGCAGCGAAACCACTGAGCTAAATCTTCGGCCTGTGTTATTCCCTTCTGAAATGACCTTACACAATTTTTTGTTCTTCACGAAGTTAAATACCTCACTTTTCACTTTCTTAGATTTTCCCTTTTTTATTGTGAAATACATGAATCATATAGAAGATTGTATAAAATATATACATTTCAAGAAATAAGAGTTTATTTTTTTAAAAAAGAACAAAGACCTCAGTTAAGAATCAGAGCTTTGACAGTTCCTTAGAAATCCCTGTCCTCCCATCCTGATACTGGGGGAAGAGGTACTGGGGATCAAATCCAGGGGTGCTCTATCATGAGCTACATCCTCAGCATTCTTTAATTATTTATTATTATTATTTTTTAAAATTGTGAGACAGGTTCTTGCTAAATTGTCAAATTAGCCTGGACCTTGTGATCTTTCTGCCTCAGCCTCCAGCGCAGCTGGAGCTATAGGAAGGCACCACCGTGCCCTGTTCCCATCCACATTTTCGTGACATATATTCCTATACTTTTTCAGTTTTATCATCCTTGAATGTATTGCTAGACAAAACCTTGCTTAATTTTGCCTAGTGGTCAACTTAACAGAAGTGGGATCATTTACCCCTGTTCTTCTGGGACTTGCTTTATTTGCTCAGCATTGTGAAATCCATCCATGTTGATGTATGTGTCGTAGTATTTCATTATGCAAACATAGCATGATGTATTTATCCCTTTTATTGTTGATGACATTTCTTTTGCCTCCAGTGTTTTCCTTTTACAAACAATACCTGTAAAACCAATTTTGTCCACATCTCTTGATGCACAGAAAGAAGAATTTTTCTGGGCAGACATCTGTCAGGGGCATTGCTGGGTCAGAAAATATATGAGTTTAGCTTTAGATAATGCCAAACTATTCTCCTAAGTGGCTGTAACAGTTACATTCCATCAGCAGGAAATTTAAAGCTCCTTTGAGTTATGACCTTGCCAGCTGCTATGATTAGGAAAGGTGTCTCCCAAAGGCCTATGTGTTAAAGGCTTGGTCCCCAACTTGTGGCACTCATGGGAGGTGGTGGGAACCTTTAAGAGGTGGACCCTGGTTGGAAGTTTTCCAGTCACATGGAGTTGTACCCTTGAATGGATTATATAGTAAGTCAATCTCTCTGTCTGTCTGTCTCTCTCTCTGCTATTTTGTCATAGTAATGGAAAGCTGACTAACACACCAACACTCTATTGATTGACTGATTCCCAGTCTGATAGGAGAATTCTATCTCACTGTGATTTTAATTTTCCTGTTTGTGGACAATGAAGTCAAACATCTTTCCATATGTTTATTGGCTTTTGGCTTTCCTCTCTCATGAAGTGTCATTTTAAATCTTTAACATATTTCCTATTCCCTGTTAATTTGCAGAACTTTATGTTCTGCCAGTACTCATCTTTTGTCAGATATATTTGTGACAAATATCTTCATTTCCCAAAATCTTTACACATATGCCTTTCTAATTTTGATCTTTTTTTTTTCAGCACTAGGGATTGCACTGAGGGCCTTCACAATGAACTATATCTCCCATCTTTTTTATTTTTTATTTTGAGATAAGATCTCACGAAATCTTTAAGTTGTCCAGCCTAGGCTCAAACTTGTGATTCTCCTGCCTCAGTCTTCCACAGTGCTGAGCAACCATGCTCAGCTCTATTTTGGTCTTTAATTCACCTGTAAAATATTTCTGTATACATTGTGTATACAAAGTGGAAGTTTAGTTTCACTTTTTCTCCCTTTGGATAACCAATTATCACACTGTCTTATATTTTTAAAATCTATCTTTTCCTCTCTAACCTGCATTGTCTCTACCATATATTTATTATTTATGTATACATAGTCCTGAGTCTGGATTCTGTTTTATTAGATTCATCTTGTTGCCATAATCCTTTCTATATGTCATGACCACTGGTCCTTACAAGCACTCTGTGTATCATTTCCTTAATGGACAAACACATAGGATGTCCCATCAGTGCCATTGATGTCGTTATTTCTTGCACATATCTTCCTGGCTGTTTCCCTCCTGCTTTCATTTTGCCTAATTGATTTATTGGCATCTTGTACAATTGTCATCTTAGGACTCTCCTTCCTGTCCTTTTTGTTTTTGATTCACTCAAGAGAGTGTCTTTCGTTTCCTTGATTTCCTTTCTTGTTTTAGTACAGTATTCTTCTAGTAGGTTTCTGAGAGAGTTAAAGGAGGTAAACTTTGGAGAAGGTGCATGTCTGTACATTTACCTGGTTGATACTTTTAGCTGGGTACAGAATTTAGATAACAATTATTTTCCCCTAGGATGTTGAAGGCATTTTTTAGCCCTTTGTGATAGATATTTTCCAAACATAACCAAAGCAATACGTCCAGTTCCATATGTTTTTCTGGAAAACTTGCTACTCTGTCTCCCAGGACAGAGACTTTTTACTGTCCCCTTGAATCTGGGAAGGTTTTAGGGACTGCTGGAACAAATAGAATGTGGCATGACTTTCAGAGCTAGATTATAAAAGGTGACATGGTTTCCTCCTGATTTTCTTTCTCAGGACTCTTGGAAGACAGCCTCCAGGTAGCAAAGAAGTCCATGCCCTTGGAGGGGTCCTAACTGGTAACCCCAGTGAAGATTAGCCCACTAGGATCAACATCAGTTTCCAGACATATGAATGAGCAATTTTTCAGATAATTTCAGTCCTCAGACTTTAACTCACTCCTACTAATGCTGAGTGGAGCCTAAGTGTATTATCCCTGCTCAGCTCTATTCAAATGGAGGCTGTGAGCAGGAGCAACCTGTTTCCTCCTGAACCAGCCTTGGAAGAGTGACATAGAAAATGTTCATCAAACAGCTAAAGAGCAGAGGATAAGGAAAGAGACTTGTAAGTTCAAGCCCAGAGTGGACAACAGCAAGAGATCTGTCTCAAAATGAAAAAGGGCTCAGGATGTAGCTCAGTGCAAAGGCCATTGGTTCAGCCCCCAGTACCAGAACAACAACAAAGCCATGCTCCCAAGACTTCAGAGGCCAAAGTTCAGCACCCAACAAGGGTCTTCAGGCTCTGGAACACATGGGAGCTTAGTGACAACCAGTGATACAGTTATATGTGCAGTCACCATCAACTGCAATGGAGCAGGAAAGGGGTAGGGATCTCTTAGACATCAGCTGTCCTGAAGAGAGGCCTGTATGAAAGAGAAATAAGAAGGAAGAAAGAAAGAGAAGGAAGCTCTGGTCCACACAGAGGCAGTTGTGTCTGGGATGAGCTGCCACTTGTTGGCCCACCTGACCTTATCTGCCCTGACTGTAGTACCAGGCAGGTGCTGCTGCTTAAGCCAAGGAAAGGGTCTTTAGAATGACCACTGAGGGAGGGGTGCCCCAGACTGAATAGTGTTGGATTTTCATTCAGTCATTCAGAAAAGACTTCTCGAGCATTCACCACATGCCAGGCCTGCTGGAAATGAAGCAGGCAACAAAAGGGACAAAAATCCCTCCCCTAGAGCTGGATTTCTCATGGAAGGAGGCAGACACAGGCAGTCCAGAAGGCACCAGCCCAGGGAAAGAGGCAACTGAGAAAAGTGGAGCTGGGGAAGAGGTGAGGAGGCCTGGATGTTGAAGGGAGGGCTGTATTTTGTATGCAGTGTTCAAGGAAGACTCATGGAGGACAGGAGCCTGGAAGAGGAGAGAGTGTGAGATGCCACTCTCTGGAAGCAGAGGACCTCAGACCAAGGCCCAGCAAAGTATGTCCTGAAGGGGAATAGGGTGCAGGGATGGCAGGGAGAGCATGGCACCAGGGCCCAGAGCTGATGGGCCTTATCAGTCACTTATCAGTCACAGGAGGTCTCACATCCTGCATGAAGCCAGTGCCAGACAGAGAGGACATGATCTCACTTGTACTTTGGAAGGGTTGTTGTGGCCACTGTCTTGAGAAGAGACAGAGCATGAGGGGGCACCTGTAGATCTAGGAGAAGGATACTGGGTTGCAAAGCAAGGAGGGAGCATGGTGGCACAGAGTGGCCAAATCCTGGATACACTGCAAGCCATTTGTTGGAAGCAGGTAGTGAGACAGAGGAGCCCATGAGGATAGCATCCGGGAGGACAAAGTGCCCTGAAAGGGGCTGCAGCTCGAGGCTCTGGGGAGTTCTCATTTCTAGCCTATGGGCCTACTTGTCACTCAGAAGAGCCTCCCTGACCCACATATCCCACCCTGAATTAACATTTCCTGTGTTATCAGTGGGGGATGTTGGTGAAAAAGATGGTGTGGATGTAGATCATTTATTGTGCCCCATTGTATGGACCAAACTAATTTGGGGCTATCCAGGCCCAAGGGGATGGAAGAAAGAGTGCTTCTGGAAGAAGCCACAAGGATTATGGTCATGCTTTCTGTGTCCTGGCTGGAGACCTGGAACACAAAGTGGGGAGGAGTGCATTGATAGCAGTGGTTGGAGATATGGGTCTTTGAGGTCATGGTGAGGAGCACCAGGTGCAACTGGAAGATCTAAGATGCAATTCAATTGGAATTGCAGTTTCAAGCAGAGAAAAGACTTGACTTAATCTACATCTTCTGTATAGATTGGAGGGGTAAATGGTAGATGTAGAAGCCACTGCTCTGTGCTCTGGATGAGAGGGGGGTGACTTGGACCAAGATTGAGGTGCTAGGCAGGGGAGAGATGGAAAAATATCTACAGGGTAGGCCATGGGTTGACTATGATGTCAGGAGGTGCATTAGTCAGTTTTTCATTACTATTACAAAATGCCCCAGGCAGCCAAAACTATGAGGAAAGAGGTTTATTGAGCTTCCTGGAAGAAAATAGAAATCACTTCAAATTACACTTTAAAAAAACAAGAAAAAACCCCCACCATCCTCAGAGTGACACAACTGTCAGGGGAGAAGACAAAAGACTTTCACAACCAGTTGCCTAGTGGGTCTCTGTCCAGGCACATCCAAGCCAGGCTTCCCTGGACCTGGGGTGGGGTGGGGAGCTCTTGGGGAGCTAGCACTTTTTTCTCTAGTCTACAGATCAGGTAACAGAGGTTCACAGAAGTCAAATCAAGTGATAACCACACAGCTTGCCAGCCTCCAAGCAGGGTTGGTGTGTTTGCAGCCTGAATTATTCTGCTTCCCAAATGGCCAATGTACTCTAGGAACTGTTAACAAAGCTTCATGTTCTTTCTCATGTGTCTCCCTCAGTGACTATTCCTGCTTAGCACCCCTGGCAGGTCCTCTGGTGCAGGCCTTCCCAGTGGCTCCTGTCTTCAGTGCTGCTTGCCTGCTCCATCAGGTAGCCTCTGGCTGAGGCTTCCACCCAGCAGCACCCAGCCAGGTAGCATCCCTCAGCCTCCATTTCCCACAAGACAAAATGGAGATCTAAGGAGGTCCATGGGCCCCTCCTGACTGACCTCACACCCCCTAGATATGCAGCCCAGATTCCCCAGCAATCAGACCTAAGCCCTCTCTCTCAGACTGCAGCTCCAGGTTCTATTTTCTGTACTAACAGCCTCTCTCATGGCAGGTATTGTAATTTTTCTGTCTGAGGAGTGTGGCCCTTCAAGAGCCAGAGTTCTGGCTTCAGACTACCTGGGTTCAAATTCTGACTCAACGTCTTTTAGGTGTGTGTCCTGAGGTAAGTTACTTAACCTCTCTGTGCCTCAGTAGCATAACCCACACATAATCATGGGATGGGATGGCAAGAGTAGCTGCTTTCTATGGCTGTGCAAGAATTAAATGAGTTGGTGTGTGTATGTGAAGCACTTGGAACAGAGCTGGCCTGACATGTAGTCCTGCTAAAGCTCCTGTTAAGGTTTCAAACCTCAGCTGATTATGCCATCTGTGATGGTCAACTGATTATGTCAACTTTAAAAGTTTAGTTAAGAGAAGCTTAACTAAATTGGCTCAGCAATTCCACATCCTTGTGTGTGGAAGATCCACCATAGGGTGGCTCATCACCTGGATGGTATAAGGGGGAAACAAGGAAGGACGGATCTGCTTCTGTTTCTTTGGAGGAACCTTCACCTTGGACATCATTTCCTATCTTCCAGCAGAGACTCTTCAGCTTCCAGAAAGGATCCCCCAGCCTTCAGACATAGACTCTTCAGCCTCCTCAAACACACTCACATGGGACACTGCAGTGAGATCCAGACCTTGGACTGGGTCCTTTGGTCTCCAGTGCTGAGACAGACCCTCTGCACTCTTCCTCATCTGACTCTGTGGGTGGCCATTGCAAGCCAATCTTGTAAATTCATATATATTTGTGTAGCTTGTGTTTTATCTGCTTCTCTAGTAAATATTGACTGATACACTGTCTCCAGCAGGCCTCTTGCCTTCTACCCCACCCCACCCGCATGTTCTGTTTTTTGGTGAGCTAGCTGGGTGGATCCATTAGACTATAAATAATTTAAAGTGCAAAATAAAAGATAGGTGATAGGAAACAGCGAAGCAGACCTTATGCAGAAAGGGAGGAGAATCTATTGATGGAGGGAAATGAGAGTCAAGGGATATTAAAAGGACTAAGATGCAATATGTATGTGTACCAACTTCCCATGATGACTGTATTCATCTAATAAAAAAATTTAAAAAGACGCAAGTCAGGTCACACCATCGCTCTGCTCAAAACCCTCCAATGGCTCCCTCCTTGCAAACTAATGTTCTCCACAAGGCCCAGAAGGTCCACTGTCAGTTCTCTGACATCCTCTCCTTTGACTCTCTGTGCTGACACAGCCACCCTGGCCTCCTCCCTGTTTCTCTACCATCTTTTCTTTTCTGCTGCCTCAGGACCCACTCTCTCTGTCCTTATGTTAACTTCATGACTTCCACCACCTTTTGGACAAGGCCTGTTCCCACAAGCCTGATCCAGGCTGCAACCCACATCTGTGCCTGCACCCCTCGCACCATCAGCTGGCTCTCATATCTCTCCCTTCTGACACTCCCTATCATTGGTTGTCCAAGTCAGTGTTTTCTATCTTCCCCCGATGGCACATAAGCTTCCTGAGGGCAGAATTCATTACACACAGCTGTGACTCTGAGTGAATGGTGACTGAACCAGGAATGTCAGATGAGCTGGGTGCCTCCTGAGATGCAGCTTCCCCGGCCCTGACTGAGCTTCCCTACAATAAAGGCTGAAGAGTGTCCTAAATGAGAGGAGGTGACCTGCTCCCAGCACCCAAAAGGAGGCTTCCAGGCTGCCATAGCACTGCTCCCAAGGCAGAGGAAGTGAGCCAATCCTAGCACCCGGGAGGAGGCTTCTGGGCCACCATAGCACTGATCCCAACATAGAGGAGGTGAGCTGTTCCCTGTGCCCAGGAGGAGACTTCCGGGGTGCCATAGCACTGCTCCCACCACAGAGGAGGTGAGCCATGTGGGTTCCAGCAGCACCCCACCCCCGGGTTGAAATGAGAAGACACGTAAACAAGTCTCCAAACCAGACTTCCAGATCACCTACAGCAACCCCCAAAGGAACCGAGATGGAACACTCTGATACTCAACCACCTGGACTCTCTGAACTGACAACAAAAGAGGATCTGGAAAAAATGAAATCAGAAATAATTTCTCAGATAACAGCAGAAACTGTGCCCATAGATATGATTAATAAATCTAGAGAGGGCACAGATAAAAAAATAGAGGAGCTGAGGAACATGATGGAATCCCAACATAGGAAACAAATGGAATCCATAAAA